ACGTGGTTTGAAAATTATCAAAAGCCATTAAAGGAGTTTAGGAGCACCATAAGAGGATTTTACCTGCAGCACGCCAAGCCTGCTCTAAGAAATCCTGGTATTTCTTGTGTGTTTTCTTGTTTTGTTCTGTTTTGAGTTGGAGTCTTGCTTTGTTGCCCAGGCTGGAGCACAATGGTGCAGTCTTGGCTCACTGCAACCTCTGCCTCCTGGGTTCAAGGGATTCTCCTGCCTCAGCCTCCCGAGTAGCTGGGATTACAGGTGCCCACCTCCACGCCTGGCTAACTTTTATATTTTTTTTAGTAGAGGCGGAGTTTCACCTGTTGGCCAGGCTGGTCTCGAGCTCCTGACCTCGTGATCTGCCTGCCTCAGCCTCTCAAAGAGCTAGGATTACAGGTGTGAGCCAGCAGAAATTACCACCCGGCAGAAATCCTTGTTTACAGAAACTGCCCCTTTGGAATCGAAGTCAGAGAGCCCACAGGCCAGCAGTCCTGGTTCTGCCACTAATTAGTTTTGTCACATTAGGGAAGTCACTTCCTCTCTGATAGTCTGAGTTGCCACATCTCTGAAATTAAACTGTTGGAGTAGGTGACACCCATGTTTCCTCCCAGCTGTAACAGCAGCCTGTGACTCTGTGACGATATCACTGCGTTTTGGAGCCTGTTTCATAATTCCTAGAGTTAATTTATTTAAATTGCTATGCAAGCATGACGACTGACACCTGGTAAACATCAAGTGTTCTTTCTATGTTCCGCATGAAAACTAGATTACTGAAATGTGTGATGACGCAGTGCAGTAAACTGAGAGTGTTGACTTCGTCATAGTCTTCGCTAAGCCGGAGAGTATTTGTGTGACTTGGAATAAGTCATTTTACTTCCCTGGATCACTATTCCCTACCCTCCACTAACTGCCAGTTATAAAAATGGGTACACTGAGAGGCTGGAGTAAGATTTGACTCTTAGAGTTCACAGAAGTTTGTTCAATGGCTATCAAAAACTTCTTGCAATTGCTAACAAGTACATAAAGAAGATTTAAACTTAAAAAGTGTTTGGATCAGAACAAAAAAAAATTGCGTAACTTATGTAAAAGACAGGCTGATTCCATCCACCCCCACCATCCCCACAAAAACTAGGCAAATGTCATTTTAACTTCATTTCTAAAACGAAATATGATTTCAGTTTGGAGTCTCTGCCTACTTTCCTTTTTGTTGTTTTTTAAATAACTGGATCTTGTTTTCTTAGGGAAAAATTCATGCATATCAGAAATATCTAAAAACTCAGACTATGCAATGGACAAAAATATTAGAAATAGAAAACATACATAATTTTATTCACTTGAAGATAAATTTATCATGTTGGACCCATATTTTGTTTATATTTTTCCCAAAATAACTGGATCAAACCATATATCCTGTTATGCAATGAACAAAATATCCATCATACATTAACATACAACAAAATGTGAAGGTTCTTCTCAGATTTAGGCAAAAATGAAATGATGAGTTCCAATGTGATGTCATGCCAGTGTGTGCAAGAAAGGAGCTGAAAATTGTATCTTAAAGGATGTCAAAATTTGCCAGGCAGAGAAGGGCAGAAAACATTTACCAGATATAAGAAAGAAACCACTAGAAACTGGCCAGTTGGAGACCTGGAGAAGTCTAGTTGGCCTGGCTGGTGTGGTGAGTGGGAGGGAATTCAGCAGGAGGTGAGCAGGGGGTGGCGGGACCCCTTTCTTTGCCAGGCTTCAGAGGATGGAATTTGTTTTGCTGACAGTGGAGAATCAGGGACTTCATAGAATCAACTACTGCTTTATTTTAAAACAAATGAAACTGACCACAACCAAGATTCTACTCTACTCCTCTGCTAAGAACACATTTTGAAAAATTCGGGTGTTTTAAAAAATCTTCATAGACGAGCCAAGCACAGTCTCCAGGAACTTTCTCAGAAGATTCTCATCACCTCTGTGGAAGCCTTTTAATGCACGTTTTGGAGTTCTTTAGTGACCTGCCTTAATTCATAGGGCATTCAGTAATTCCAGCAATGGCAAATTCATCGTAAAGAGCACCCCGGGTAGAAGTTGTTTTGGCCACACTCTCGGAGAGGAAGGAATGTGTTTGGCTCTGCTGGATGCCTGCGGCAGGGCTCTGATGAAGAAAGCGATGGAACCTAGCCTTGGCCATTTGTTTATTTAAACGAGCTGTGTTTTAAACAGCTCATTGGCTCCACCCAGTGGACAAGTGCTAGAAAACTGCTGTCGGAGCCTGTTGCGGCGCTTGGAAAGATGGATCCAACTCAAATGTCTTTCCTGCTGTTTCTGATTTGCTATTTCAACCATTCATTCCCTTTACGAATTTAAGTGGCATCCCAGGAAACCGTTTTTATCCTGCATCTCAGTGTCCTTGAATAAGTCCCTGTCCTCTCTGAAACTTATTCTGCTGCTTAAAAAAAAAAAAAAAAACTCTTCCATAGTTCTAGTGTGCATAGTCTCTCAGAGGTGTAATTGTTCCAGTATTTGCCCATTATATCTGTCATTCAAACTGGCATCAGCCTGGATAAAGAAAAAATATCTGTGGCATTTTGAAAATGTATGAATGACTGCAAACACCTATAATTATATGTGTCAATATATGTCAGTATTATCCAATCGTGTATTCGTAAGAATATCTTTGAGACGTTAACCTACAATTGCATGGTGTAGTAGAAAGAGCAAGGCTTTGCAGTGAGATAGACCTGAGTTTAAACTCTAGGCCTGCAACCTTCTATATGACCTGGTAAGTACTCTCCTTCCCTGAGCGTTTTTCCTCATCAATACAGTAAGATGGCAAATCTTATTTCACAAAGTATAATATCTGAAGAGCACTAGACACCGAGACGGGCCAACAGCAGGCTTCTGTTTAACAAAAACAGCTGTTCCTGTTGAACAGTCTGCACCTTATCCATTTACCTTGAGCAAATAGCTTCTGCTCTGAAACTGGGATTCTTCCTCTGTCCAGTGGAGTTCATAGTTCCTTGTCTTCGAGTTATACAAATCCAATGGTATAACCACTCCAAAGCACCTGGCACCTTATAGGTACTTAACAGTTGCTAGCTTCTTTCTTTCCAAAAGTACTGACCTGTTGCAGATAAGTAAGTTATACAGCTAAATTTGTGTTTATCCCATGAACACACTTTCTCCCCCCTTCACTTTCTGTCCCTCTCTTCTCTCTCAGACACACACATGCATGCACGTGTTGCATTCCCATCTTATTTCCCCCATCTCTTTCATCAAAAGTTAGGCCAAAAGCCAGGTGCAGTGGTTCATGCCTGTAATCCCAGCACTTTGGGAGGCCAAGGTGGGTGGATTGCTTGAGCTCAGGAGTCTGAGACCAACCAGGGCAACGTGGTGAAACCCCATCTATGCAACAAACTTCAAAAGTAGCCAGGCATGGTGGTGTGCATCTATAGTCCCCAAACTACTCAGGAGGCTGAGGTGGGTGGATAGCTTGAACCTGAGTGGTTGAGGCTGCAGTGAGCTGTTGCCACTGCACTCAAGCCTGGGCCAGAGCAAGACCCTGTCAAAAAAATTAAAAATTAAAAAAAAAATTTATATACACGTATATATGTAACTGCCTGTATTTAATAATTATAGAGATGCAAAAGTGCCTAGATTCTGCCCTGTCTGTTATTTCTTTAGCCAGCACATTTATGTGGTTTTCGAATACAAAGCTTCTCCGAACACCTGGGCACCCCCATGCTCAGGCTCCTTTTTCCCAATGTTTCCTATTATATAAGGTGTGGCAGTCCAGGGCAGTGCGCAAGAGATGTGGCAGCTGCAGCCGGCTTTGCGGCAGGTGGAACTTGGAAGGAGATCATTCATCTAATTAAAATGACATTCAACTTGTCTTCCCAAGATGCTAAATGGCACAGGGCTCATTACTAGCCTGCTCCTCAGACCATCCTTGGAGATGAAAGAGGCGCCACTACCCTGGCACAGTGCCAGCGGCAAGGGACACAAAGATGAAAGCACATGGGGTGATTCAATGAGTGCTTCTTTTTCCTGGCATTTAGTAGCTCTCAGTCTAGCAGGGCCAACAGATATGCCCAGAGCCCCAACACACACACACGGACACACACACACACATAGACACACACACACACACACACGTACAAATCCATACACTGCATAGAAGAATCAATGTGTGCACAGGAGGAGAGAGTGGCTACCTCCACAGCAAGTGGTGCGGGAGTGTGGAAAGGTCTCCCGACAGGTAGAAGTCACCTTACCTGAGTTGGAGAAATGAATGGCAATTTGATAAGTGAAGAGGGGCGGGCGCAGGATGTGGTAGGAGCATGGGACTCAACCTGTGCAGAGCCCCAGGGAAAGAGAAAGGATGGCTCATTCGGGATCCATAAATACCTGCAAGAGCCAGGCAGGTGATGCAGGTGATGCTTGTCGACACTTGGGTGTATCATTCATTTCTATTTTTAAAAATGTCCTCCTTCCAGCTTTTCTTGACTTATACCCACTTAAGTTATCCATTATTTCTTCATCTTTGATTGAAACTTAGCTCAAGAGAAATCTTTCCCTACTCGAAGAAAACTAGCAGTCCAAATCCATTTACTGAATCAGTTTGTAAGTGACACATGGCTCCTCTGGGGGAGTCAGGTGGAAGTGGCAGGGACTGGGACAAACTGGAGAGCAAGTGCTCCTGCTGAAGAGGGCAGCCATTCTTCAACTCCAGCTGTTCAGAAGCTCCCAATCTTGCAATTTCTAAGAAAAAGCAAGCAACGTGGATTTTGATAAGAGAGTCAAATTTTTACACAGTGCCTTAATGAAAAGAAAAAAAAAAAAAAAAGTCTGCAGACCAAACGGAACACATCCTCATGCTAAGCCTTAGTCATGGACTGTGCTTGAGACCTCTCATTTACAGGCTCCAGAGATTCCAAGAGCATTTTCAGGATCCTTCATCAAATCGTTGCTCTGCTTATAGTTTCTCCTAACCATCCTTTCCCCTTGCTTTCCAGAAAGAGATGACGAGCAGGATGTGTCACTGATGTTCCACCTCACCCTCTGGAAGAAAGGAAAGCGGTTTCCTCCTGGAGCCCTGCATGGGCAGGAAGTGGACCACCCTGGCTGAAATGACACACCTACTTCCAGGAGCTGCAGAAGTGGAGGCAAGCGGTGACTCCTGAGAGACGTTCCCCACTCACTTTGTGTGCCGTTAACCTTCTGAGTGCTGCTAGCCCAGACCCGTGGACCAGGCAGACCCAACATGGAAGAAGGACCAGCCCTTTGACCCTTCTGGCTGGAAGATATCCGAGAGGAAGCCTCTGCACTTCCACACATGGCATCGTTCTGCCTATGACCTGCCGCCTAAGCTTTACTGGAATTCAGGTTTTGAGACTGGGATGCTTGTTTGTATTTTTCCACTTATCTGTCTTGTCAGCTGGCCAACTTCTCTGTGATTGGTTTTCTAAGTGCCGGGTGAATTTTGGACCTCTGGATGTGCAGTGAGTTTTTATGCAATAAGCCTTCCTTGCAGGTCTCTGAGAGCTCCTGCTCTGATGCTGTGATTTAACACTGTGCAGGACCGTGGAGCTCAGAGAGACCTGAACCCCCACCCCCCACACCCGCCTACTTTCCCTGCCATAGCTTCCATAGCATTTCCCTAATAAGTAGTTTTATCAGGGACACGCCATGGGGTGGCTCGTCTCTGCCCCAAACAGGGTCTTCACATTCTAACTCCAGGGAAGAGACTGGTTACTAGCATAAAGCTGACAAGTTACCAGGTCACCTGATCAGAATGTATTTTTTATAACCACCATCATTCCTTGCCTCTTCAGTTGAAGAGATTCTTTCCTGTTTCCCAGAAGAGGGAAATAAAAGTCCTAAATGACTGAGAATGATCAGCAGGAGCTTTGGTCCCAATTACTACAGCGTTTGTTCTTTATTAAAGGGCAGGGAGCCGCAGCTGTCTCTACGTAACACTAACATTTCAGTGAAAAAACAAAAGTACAATTGGTTATTTGGTACATGTAGATTTAACACCCAGACGGCTGACTGGTAACCTTCCCCACTGGCCTTCTGAGCATTTAAACCCAGCCCACGTTCTCTCCCCACTCCACACCCTCCCCTCCTCTGCCATGTTATGTTACAGCACAAAATTAATTTCCGCCCCTGTGATTGTGCCACGGTTGTCAAGGTGACAGTGGAGCCGGAGCTAACTTCCTTCTTTCATCCTTTCCAATTTTTCTGTTCCAGAAGACAGTCAGAATAATGCATTCTGTACTACGTCCTGCCTTTGGAAACCTAAATGAGTTTTCGTTGATGAAATGTTGCCTTCTCTGATTCATTCAAAAAACTGTGGTGGTTCTGACTACCTGTGATGAGGGGGTCATAATGCTTCCAGTGATCCTTTGAATTTAGCAAAATGTTTGCTGGTGGAGGGAAGTAGATAAGAATGTATTAGTGTATGTTAATGTAATAACGATTAAACAATAACTAAACAACTCTGATTTTGTTTTATTATACATGTGTTAAAGCCTTCTGTGGCTGCCGCAAAAGCCTAGAATCATGAAATCTTTGTCCAGGCTGAGAAAGGCTGCCTCTGTGGGTACAGTGGCATTCGCTGTTGCCCTAACCAAGCCGGCTGAACCTTGCTTTGTGTCTCGTAAAGGTCATCTCATGGAATCCAATTGCTGCAACCTCACCATGTTGCTGTGCCCTGGTCAACAATAAACATACTTTTCTCCCCCTTCCTAAGTAATTTGGAGAGGACAAGATAGGCCACGTTTTTTCCCCACATCACCTTTGGCTGAAAGAATATCTGACCATCATAGAGATCCAGGAACAGCAACAAGAGCCCCTAATTCCCGGCCTGTACAATATGCAGTTACCAGATGGGAATGCAGAGCAGTGGGACAGAGAGGTGGCTCTGGAACCCAGGACCCGGAGGGACGCTGCAGCAGTGCACCACGGAACGCCACGGGATTTTTGCATTAAAAAAGTTGAATATGTTCCTGCATTTCAGCAAGGTATAATCAAGCAGGAAGCTGGAATCTGGAGACCTCTGTGATTCATTCTTTTTAAGGTTATTTTCTATTAATTGTGCAAATGAAATTTCCACTCAATTTAAAAATCCAAATGTCTTTAAGCTTCTTGGAACAGTTTTATCCTGCTTATATTGTTAATTGCACTAATCAACTCTTCTAGGGTAAATTCTGGCAAACTACTCTTTTTTTTTTTTTTTTTTTTTTTTTAATTACAGAATGTTCCCATTCCCACAGAACTTTGGCAAATTCTGAAGACAATCTCTGCAGTCAATTTTTATCGCCTTGGCTTGGCTGCATCTAACTGTTCATCTCTGTTATAAATGGAGCTTCAGCCCTCTGAGCCAGAGACTGACAACTCCCCTTCTTCTTCCTAACCTGGCCTCCTCTCCTTTTTCTACATTTTTTTTTTTTTTGAGATGGAATCTTGCTATGTGACCAGGCTGGAGTGCAGTGGCATGATCTTGGCACACTGCAACCTCCACCTCCCAGGTTCAAGGGATTCCCTGCCTCAGCCATCCGAGTAGCTGGGAGTACAGGCACTTGCCACCATGCCGGGTAGTCTTCTGTATTTTAGTAGAGATGGGGTTTCACCATGATGGCGAGAATGGTCTCGATCTCCTGACCTCGTGATCCACCTGCCTTGGCCTCCCAAAGTACAGGCGTGAGCCACTTGCCTGGTCTCTACTTTTGTTTTAATTTTGGAAAATTTTAAAGTAAAAGTTTCAAAGTTGCAAGATGATAGTGAGTACCTTATGTCCTTCAGTGCATCAGTTAACATTTTGCCTTGTTTTCCTTTCTTCCTTTTTTTAAGAGAACGGGTCTCTCCCTGTGTTACCCCAGCTGGCCGTGAACCCCTTGCCTCAAGCAATCCTTCCACCTTAGCTCCTGAGCAGCCAGGACTCTGGCTTGTGCCACCACGCCTGCCTCTCATTTTCTTTCTCACTGTAAAGACACATTCTTATTCTTGAATCATCTGAAAATAAGTTGCAGGCATCATGAAAATGTAAAATACTTCATCATGTTCTTCCTTTTAATAAGCACATTGTCCTATAAATCTGCAATATTTTCACACCCATGAAATTGAACACTGCTACTGTATAAATCGAATATGTGATCCATATTCAAAATTCTCCAGTTGTCCTCAAAATATTCTTTATAGCTGTTTGTTTTATTATCCAGGATCCAATCAAGAATTATATGTATCTGTCATTCTCTTTTGTTTCCTTTAATTGATTAGAGTTCCCCTTTCGTGTGTGTCTGAGTGGTGGGGTGGTATTTGTGTATGGTGTTTGGTGGGGGTGTGTGTGTGATGTGTCTTTCGATAACACATTATTAAAGCGTTCAGGCAAGTTTGTGGCATGTCCCACAGCCTAGACTTTTTTACTTATTGTTGCCTCATTATGAGATACAGGTTAAATTTTTTTTCCAAGACTACTACATATGTGATGTTGTTTCCTTCCTAACGCTTCCCATCAGGAGGCACATAATGTCTACTTGTCTCTTTTCTGATATTAAGACTGATCAGGTGTTGTCTGCCTGATCCAATCATTTTCAAGTTCCATAATTATTAAGCTCCGAAATTCAGTACACGTACATTTATAGAGCATGAGGCTGTGCATACATACATTGATTTCTTAATGTTCTCAAGGAGGTCAAGGATCCCCAAAATATGATGACCATTGCAGTCAGATGATATAGCAGTAGCAAAGAATTCATCCCTTTCCATGTAACAGGAGGGAGGAGAAGAAGGAAGTTTCCATGTGCAGGCAATACGTGACCGCGTGGGCAGGTGGGAATTTGTACGGTCCCTGTAGCCAGAGGTGAAATATTCAACCCTTTTACTTCTCCTCCAATCCTCAGTGACCTCCCATTTGGACCCATAGTTTATTTATAGAGAGCACACACCCTGTAACTGTCAGCTGGTTTTTTGGGGAAAACCCTTAGACAGTACAATGGGTTATGACCCTCCAAAGGACCACAAGTACATAAACAGATACAAAGTATTTATGTGGTATTAAAATTTCATGGCGATGGTACAAGGAAGAGATGACTAGGAAGAAAATGTCTTAAATGGTATAATTGGGAAATACTGATCTGGAGTCATTTCCTGCTTCATAAGTTGTTCATTTGTTCTTCCCTGGGTATTTTTTCATTTCTAAAAGTGCAGAGTCTCAGAGCCAGGTTAAGTGGAAAAAACTTCGATTTCTTTTTTCTTTTTTATTTGTTTATTTATTTATTTACTTTTTTTTTTTTTTTTTTTTTTTTTGAGATGGAGTCTTACTCTGTCGCCCAGGCTGGAGTGCAGTGGTACAATCTCGGCTCACTGCAACCTCGATCTCCCTCATTTAAGTGATTCTTCTGCCTCACCTCCAGAGCAGCCAGGACTACAGGTGTGCACCACCACGCCTGGCTAATTTTTGCATTTTTTAGTAGAGATGGGGTTTCACCATATTGGCCAGGCTGGTCTCAAACTCCTCACCTCGTGATCCACCCACCTCGGCCTTCCAAAGTGTTAGGGTTACAGGCATGAGCCACCTCACCCAGCCGAGAGATTTCTTAATCCGTTCCTTTTATCTCTCAAACCATGCCAGTAACATCCCCAGTGAAAAAAATGTATTCTCCTCTCACAGATCTTCAGGCATGGAAAATCTACAGCATTTTTCGGTATAACCGATCCACTGAACACTCCACAACATCTAGAGTTCCATTCAACTCAAGCTGAAATATTATCTTTGAGTTTCAGTATATCTTTTCTAGTGTCCCACTTTTAGAAAGGTACAAAGATGATATATAATAGAATAATTGAAAATGTAATGAATCAGAGCTTTATCTGCATATCTATGAAGTATCTGAAGGCTATTTTCCATGTGCGGCAGCCTCCTTTTCCTTCCAGTTCTCCCAGGATGGTGTCCTCTGCAATCTTGTTGCTCCATTGTTGACCATTGAAGTAACTCAATGTGAAACCTTCTCAAAGCTCTCCACATGACTCTATGTTATGGATGTGACCAGCAGTGAGCATGAAGAGAACTTATTTCATGCCTTCTCCAAACTGCCTTGTATCTTTGCTAAGTCCTGACTTGCTTTGTACACGTTATGGGTTTTCTATTTTAATCACCATGAAAAATTCTTTACCACATTCAATCATTTTGGTTTATCTGCCTGACTTCTTGCCTTTAACATCCCTGTTAAAGATTACACTGTTGTTTGTTTGTTTAAGCCATCCCTATAGTTGGCAAAACATTAAGGGACTTCAATAGAATTACTCTTATCTTTTTTTGCTGATTCATGCCAAGCCATCATTCTGATTGATGGAAGCACATTGCTTCTTATAGTCTCTTAAACTTGTGTCCTTTCCATACCCCATGAGTGTCACACTGTGAGAAAAACGAAAACACTGTAGGAAAAGGATGGCCATCATCTTTGAAGAAATGTGTACCAAGGCACAATCACTAAAAGGCGTTGGAGGCATCACTTGGTTAACACTGTCATTCTTGATCTGATCGTTTTGGGCCTTGAAGAAATTGGTGATTCTCTCCTAGAATTAGACAAACAAAATGTGTTTGGAAATAGTGATTGTTTTCCTGCTTTAAGAAGTATATTATCAAAAAGCTTTTATAACAGGCTATTTCCCTCTGGGCAGGTATTATTAATTCTAAGAATTTTTTCAATGACTACATAAGATTTTCTGTAACTTATGAATGAAGAATCCATTTCTAATCAGATAATTAAGCTGTTTTACTAGCTTCTAGTGATCTGATTTCAGAGTTTTCCTGTACCTTTTTTACATACATCAGAAAAAGAAATGTTTACTACATTTTTAGTTCCATTTATGATTGTATTAAGCGTTTGACTATAAGGAAAACTAACAAATCAATTAGAAAAGCAACATAAAACTAAAGGATATTTATGAAATCAGTTATATGTGAGCTTGGGGATTCAAATGTCGCAAATAAAAGGCATAAAACCGTTATCTAGTCTGTCTTCTTTTAATGCTTGGTTTATTTCTTTTAATAAATAGGTTGTCTTGCAATGGTCCTGGAACAGGAAAACTGTTAATTCTACAAAAACTAATTCAAAGTTAATTTGAAAACACACGGGTGGCTGGCAAGATGGCCAAATAGGAACAGCTCCAGTCTGCAGCTCCCAGCAAGATAAACGCAGAAGGCAGGTGATTTCTGCATTTCCGACTGAGGTGCCCAGATCATCTCATTGGGACTGGTTAAACAGTGGGTGCAGCCCACGACGGGTGAGCCAAAGCAGCGTGAGGCGTTGCCTTACCTGGGACGCGCAAAGGGTGGGGGAACTCCCGCTCCTAGCCAAGGGAAGCCATGAGAGACCATGCTGTGAGGAATGGTGCGTTCCGGCCCACGTACTACGCTTTTCCCACAGTTTTCGCAACCCACAGACCAGGAGATTCCCTCAGGTGCCTACGCCACCAGGGCCCTGGATTTCAAGCACAAAAC